CCCGACGGATCGCCAGGCTCGGGTTGGTGCCGGACGGTTGAGGGCTCGACCTGGGGTCGGAGGAGGGGGACCTGACCGGTTTCTAGAGGAGTCACCCACCCACTTGAATCGGAAGTCCTCTTCATTGTTAGTAATCAAGAGTCTAGATTAGAGGTGTCGGCTCGGCCAGCTTTGGTTTGCTTTGATGTTTTTCGATGTTTTTCGGCAGATGGACCCAGGGTTTTTACCACCAGAAAGCCTAGTTTTCTATCGGTTTGGGTGTGTGGGTGGTGTACATGCTCAACCATTCGCTGCACACCTTCAGACCACCCCTTCTTTGGCTTCCAATTGCTTCTTCCCGTGTCTTCTCGGGCGTCAGACGGGCACGACATCGAAGCGAGCGATCGAAGGACACGATCGCTGAGCGATCGACACGGTGAGGTCTGATGCTCGGTTTCTGGATGCCTGCGGCTTCCTGATCAAGCGCTTTCGGCCTGGCATGGAGATCGCCTCGGTCTTCTTCCTGATCCGATGCTCGGATAGACCTCGGTGACGTCGCTCCGGAGCGCCTGCCAAACAACGGAGACACAAACCGGAGACATACCCTTTCTTTCTCGGCCGAGGGGAAAAGCGCCACATTCTCAAGATCGGGATCCTCTTCAGGCCGTTCTTTCCGTTCATGTGCCGATCCCGTGAAAACCAAATCGGATCAGCTCCGGAAAGATTGAAGAACCCAGAAGTCTTGAACATGTTTGGGTGCAGAGACTCTCTGCTGAAAATTACCTTCCTCGCTTCGATTGTGGCTTCATTCGCTTATAAATATATGGCTCAATGGCAGGTCATTTTGAGCCCCGTAGACGGAACAATCGACCTGCTGTCGACATGAACAGTGTTCCTCATATCACCTCTTCAGATGCACACAAGGGGATGGTTTTGGAGAACCAACCGCTCTTGAGAATGCTCTTGGAAATCTAGGCTGCCTGGGATCACTGGGTTTGGCCGTGGCATCTCAGGAAACGCCTTAGTAGTGCTGTGCCCCCTGCTCCACAGCACATCTGGGCAGCTGCTGATGATGTGCACCGCGGTTTTGGAGGGCGGTTCTACAATGTGTGCGGATCCAATCCAAGTATGAGTGTCCCCCACACAGAAAAGTGAGTCCTGAATTCCCTCTAACAAATAGTTTGGAAGGGTGGAAACCACCCAGCCTTCTTATGGGGCTTCCATTTGCGCTGCGTCTATTAATTACGTGAATAGCGATATCCACGTGAGAGGAAGTGCAAATTAGGAAGTGCATGGAAGTGCAATATTGGTCGTTTAGAATGTTTCGCTTTTTATAGGGGCCACAGTCATACGATGCAATTGTTTGATGGATTTGATGGAACTGGCATGCTTCGGTGACGGTGAGACAATTGTGCTGCACGTGGACTCCTACCAACAATTCAGGGGCGAAAGGCCCCCTGTATGTAGTACCAAGGAAGAAGCTACTAGTGCGTCCTTGTTATTACTAGTAGCGATGCCCTTGTTCCTGGTCCTAGTAGCTTCTTGTTCCTAGTAGTAATGCCAGGAGCTACTAGGGACTCCTATACCAACCATTCAGGGGCGATTTCGGCCCCCTGTATGTTGGTCCGTTCTTTTGATAGTGCGGCGTCTTAGCATGCGCTTGGGGTTGGCACAATGTTACACATGTATTGCAAGCGCTTCGAGTCGTTTCGGCATCGCACATTCCAGAGTGCCCAGAAAAGATCAGAACAGTATTCTTCATTCTGCGCTTTTTTTTTCGTCATCAAAGGCGACACCAGGCATGCAACCTTCAAGCATTGAAGCGTTCGACACCTGGTGTTTCAACATAGTTCAACATGGTTAATTTCAAGATGTTCAAGTCATTTGGATTATCCTCGCGTTTGTTGGATTTTTCTGCTCAAGCCAGGCATCATCTTGATTTTCAACTCCATCATGGTGGCCTTCTTCAAGCCATGGCGTTTCCTGCTCCTTGGCAGTTCACCGAACCCCCGGAGCTGCGGAGCGGGTTTTGGTCTCATGAGTTGGTGAGGTAGGTCTGGCCATTTTGGGGCACTGGAAAACACAGCTGTTCATGTTGATGTTTCTGATCACTCAACCTTTACTTGGGATGAGTGATCCCTTTACTTGGGAGAAGTGACTTGACATCACCAATTATATACATGTCCTCTCCGCCGGAGAGAGCCGACCAGGAAGTACATACAAATCATAATATATACTGTATGTATATATATATATTGTATGCTACTTTGACGTTTACCTACATTGTGGGATCAATTCCAAGTCTTTGGCAGCATCAAATCATTCCTCATAGTCGAAACATGTTTAATTGCATCCTTATTTCTAGGCCGCCACCTGAAAGTTCCGGCTACAGATCATTGTTTAACTTAAGCCAAAAATTAAATTCGATATTATTTTAGGGCAGCCAGTAGCAGGAGGCCTCTCAGTTCCCTGAATGAAGCACTTGTCCTGCACCTGAATTCGAGATCGACCCAACTGAATTGCGTAGTTCTTGCAACTGCCATACTTTCCTTTTCCTTGCGGAGGATGCTCGTTTGACATGGCAAAGTGGCCGTTTACGCGTGGGCACATTGATAGGACATCCCACATGCATGAATCACCTTGGATGTTCACCGGTTTCAACCCTCTTTTCCCTCCACGAAAGCATCCCTTTGCTGTGATGTTGGATTTCCGCTGGTCGTAGCAAGAGGAGCAATGGCTGTTCCGCGGGTCGTGGTGGGCCGCCCTCAGTGTGGGATCCTGCATGGGCCCTGAGGATTTGCAATTGTTTGGACAATGTGCTCCTGGCTGGCATGCTGGTGATTCTCATTCTGGGCACCTTGGTTTTTGAGAAAGAAGCGGGCGAGATGAACATATATCCCTCACGTGGGGCTCCAAGTGCCTCCATTTCACAGCTGGGCGTGGTGGTGGGTTGAAGTAGCTTTTGAAGTAGTTGGAGCAGGTTGGAGCCCTAAAATTATCTAAAATTAAGCGATACCTGCCACTGCATTTGCGCCAACCCAGTGCTCATCCATGCATGGTTTGGCTGATAGATCTTGAGAAAGTACAGTGCGTGGCTTCCATCGTGCGATGGCGTGACATGGCGTGGCATGTGGCGCACGCAATCCCAGGCGCCATCTCGGTGAAGGATTCAGATCCAGGAGCGACAATGGTGGTGGTTCTTCGGCAGCAGGTTGGAGGATGGTAGACTGGAAGGGGGGCCTGCAACAGGTGACTTTTGGATACTTTTGGTCAAAGGAATTTGGCAAAAGCGCTGCTTTTTGTGCATGTGCTTTGTAGAACGTATCTAACACGGATCCTTTTTCAAGAGCACCTCCCACATACAACATCATGCAGCACCCTCGCGTCGGCAAATTTGCTTGGGGAGAGAGATTGGCAAAAGCTTCACGGAGGTATGGGTACCTAGTGCTGTCCCCCAGGCCGCCCCAAAAAAAAGAACTCACAAACACAATCATCCCCAAAAAACGGATTGCTTGTCAGAGGAGTTCCAAGACCCATAGAGGGAATCCCCTGCATTACTTAAACTTTGCTAAGGCTTGTTTTCAAAGCTCTTGAAAGGCTCGAGCAGGAATTTTCTCAGCTAGGGCCAACGGATGGTGATTTTTCGCTGCATGTGTTCGACCACATCCACACCAAAACGTTCACGTGACTCTGGGGGTGACCACGTCATGGACTCCTCAGAGGTGATGCTTTTCTTGATGCTGATGTGCCTCTCCATCTTGGGAACGATTGGCCACGGCATCTTTAAGCACTTCCAACAGAAATACCGTAAGCAGTGCCTGGACTGGATGGTCGTCGAGGTGTGGCCCCAGGCGTTTTTTTTTCTCGAAAGGCCGTAGACCTTGGGAGAAGCTCATATGTTGGGTTTGTCCTACTAATTACCTGTGACAGTCAGTAAACAGTTATCAGTTATTAATATAACTCTATAATAGAATATGTTTGAGAAAGGCCTTTACTATCCTTTACTAACCATCATCATCCACTGTTACTGGTAATAGGATAGACCCAAATCATATGTGTTTATATAGACTGTTAGATGTATAGATACACCTTTTATCACGTTTATATATGGTTTATTTATTTATTATATATATATATATATATGTCTAGCCAACTGCCATGTCAAATGATTCCTCAACCTGGGTTGTTGACAGTTGACATTAAGCAACCGTGCATCACGAAGTGCCTGTTGATTGAGACCGTACATTCTGTTCAAATTTGTGGTAACAAGTTCGTTTGCGCACAAAAAGGAGTCTTCATGGCGGGCGCCAGGTGGTGCAGATGCCTTTTTTCTTCAAAGTTCTTAACACCCCGACGGTTGATTTAGGTAGACCTGAATTCATTGTTCTACAGTTGCGACCGTCGCCTGTCAGACTCGCCGCCACCAGTGAGACTGCATGAGACTGCCCTAAGGTTCCGGTACTTCCTGTGCCACCAAAAGAATGCTGCAGGCTCAATGGCAAGGTTCCTGGGTTGCGCCGTTCACAGTGGGTTTCGGGTGGTGTTTCTCAGATCCCTTCCTCGGCCCCATTCTGCCTGATGGAGAATGGGCCAGCATGACAAATCCTGACAAAGCTTTTGTCACTTGCCATGTAGTAGCTGCATCATTGGCAATGGTGCGGGGAGAGGACCATCGGCATGGAACCTGATCCAGGCTGGGCAGTTGTTCAAGGTGAGATTCTGGCCTTACTGGCATAGCTTGGGCAGCTCGAAAGAACCTTGGACCATTTTTTTGGACCCAAACCAGGTCCCGGATGTTCCTGGGTCCATCAGCCACCGTGTTTCGATCCGTACCCCTTATCCACACCACCTGTCCGCGCCACCTGTCGCAATGTGTCCGAGTGGGCCATGGATCGCCCCCTTGTTTTGCAGGGACCGTTCGGCTCGTTCCAGTTGGTTTCCGGAACCCTTGGCTGCGCGTTCCGCTGCGCGTTCCAGCCGATGTCATCGCCGATGTTTTTTGCCTCCCAAGGCTCTTGAAGATGGAGCTGGAACAGCGTTTGCTTCTTGTCATGGGTCAGCCATTGTTCTTGTTGCTTGCTTAGCTGTTAAGGTTTGGGTTGATACAGTGCGACAATAGGCGATTGTATGACAATCTTTGGGACTTGTATAGACGTGGCCCTCAGACAATGTCTATAATATGTCTATTCCAATTGCCTTGTCTCAGCTGTGTTCTCGTTAATTCGTTGATTTCATGCTGCTTTTGTGCAAATCATATCTCTTCCACTATGTCCCTACTATGTCTGCAGATATTTTTGGTTTACCACACATTGATTGACATGCTAGGTTGTGGCAACACATCTTTCATTTCCACCCCGTTTGCCGCTGACTCGACTGACTGAACGCTTCCGCGCCACGTCCGTTGGACGCTGAGGCCCGGGACGAAGACCTTCATCGACTGCGATGACTTGAACGACTTGACACGGCTCTTCAGCTACGTGGGCCAGGCAGCGCGAGCAAGTTTGGACCGATTGGACTTACCGGTGTTGCGACCTGAATTGGCCGTTCGCCTTTGTCACAACTGAATCGGGAAAATTTGTTGGAGAGGAACTCCATATTGGTGCGCTGGTGAGATGTGGTGTGGTGGGGACTTAAGGATTTCGATCCTGAAGTGTTGGTGTGGAGGAAAGAAACATAATTTTCTATAAGTTTACAAGTTTTGTTGAATGAACTTGAAGCTGAGAGGAAGCCTTGAGGTTCACCAGTCAGGGCTTCTTGCAATTTACCTTTTAAGTGGGCCCGACCCATTGAAGCCCTGAATCTGAAAGTTCCATGGAACCCCTCCAACCCAGTCTCCAACCCTTTTTTGTGTTTTTCTTGTTGATGGTCTTTGGATGTCTTTGGGCTTTGCCTATTTTTTATATAGTTGTTTAAGACTCGGACTTGATTTGCTCCATCACTGGGACCCGTTTTCAACACATCTTTGCCATAGAGGGTTCGAAAAAACAAACAGACCCAACGCCTTATAGACAGTGAAGCAATTGCTGCGAGTTGAGACCACCTTAAGGAGTTCCTGAAAGCTTGCTGCAGAATCGGTGCACCGATTGATGAGGTGGCCCGGGAAAAGAAAATGGACATCATCCTGTACCATTGGGCATCCTGAGCTCCACAGTGATTTCCTCCTTCAACCATAGAGCATCATAGAACTCAGACCTTGTTTGCGATCTCCGATCATCGAGTCAGCGGGTGAGGATACTCAAACCTTCTTGGTGCTGTGCAGCCCCGACATCCTCACGCGCAAGTGGTGCGTGGGGGGAAATGGTCACCGCAAGAGCCAACGGAGTAGACAGCTTGCTGCTCACATGGCCAAGCTTCGTCCGACCGGATGAACCTGGGAACAATGGACGCCGGAGAGGGGTGATCTTCTGTCTTCTAATAGCACAAGGGATATTTCAGCGAGTGAGAGGTTTCAGCAGGTGTCGGTCGTTTCGGTGTTTTACACTTCTGCAGAAGCAGTTCAGCCTCCAGCTTATATGATAAAGTACGAGAAATTTACAAGTATGTCAAAATTAAGTGTGAAGGCACTTGTGCAGGTGACAATTTGTGCAGTTGTACTACCTCTCGTGTGTTTGGCATTGTTTTTTCAATGCGCGGTGCAGTACTCAATTCCAATCGGTGCAATATGTTTGCTGGAATTTATTTTTGCTGTGTCCAGTCTATTTGTTTCTTTCGGTTTGTGGATGCCTTGCATCAACTGGACCCATGGCCTCCATATGGGTGAGTGCTTTTATAGTTTCCAGGGGTTCCAAGAACCGGTGTGAGTGGACACTGAGTGGACTGACCCCTGGAACCCTCCCCAGTCCGAACCCCACGGCATTTGGAGAATCTTGAAGCTCTTGGAGCATCTTGAAGCCCAACGTTTCATTGGTTTTTTTTTGGTTCCATGACTTCTTTTTCGTCTTCAGGAAAAGTTCATCGCCAAATATCCGACGATCGTTCCGGACATCAACGAGCTCACCAAGTGCCTGGGCACCGAAAGACAGTTCTTGGCATCATCCCGACAGATCCACATACATTGGGAGCATGTTGGATCCTCCAATGGCTATAATTGTTATCTATGTGTAAAAAAGAGAGTCTTAAAAAAAACATAACCTGACAAAGAGGGTGGATCCGTGGATCCATAGGGCCATAGGGCGAGAACAAAGCAATCATGTAATGGTGCGAAGGCGACTCCTTCTGCCCAAGTGGATGTTAAATGGTTTGTCCGAAAACCATTCGAGGACTTGGAAGACTTTGTCAGCCTACAATGCGAACAGGGTGGTGCGAGTTGCAGGTAATTCAGGAGTTGTGACTGATGTCACGATCAAGTTTTTGAGTCTAGAGTTGATGGAGCAAAGCCATTGAACCCACATGAGGACCCACCATCACCTACTTTCAGTGGCAACACCAGCACCATCTAGATTGAGCATATTTTTCTATCCCATCACTCTATTGAATCTATTGTTTGACAATGACCCGAGGACCGACCAATCTTGGAGATTGCACATCACGGGAAAAAGAGCGCAAGGAAAGCTGCTCTTGGTAGAGAAAGGAAACCTTCGGAACGGTGGCCCATTTCTTTGACAGCACCACTTTCCATGAGGGCATGCTTCGTGCGACTGCGGATGCTGATTGGAGCAACAGCGGATGCAATTTGCAATCGGGATCCCAGAGCACAGCTCCCAAATGGAGTCCAGCACTCATCCCCCAACCCAAAAATCGCCAGAAAGCAGAGACCCCCTGGGTCCAGCACTCCTCAGGTACGGCATCAGCCTGCAGGACGTGGAGGAAGCCCTCCGGTGGCTCGCCATCGTGCCAGGCCAAGCGTTGCCCGAGCAGATCTCCCCTACAACGACCCACTTGATGGTCACCGGCCTGGTGACTGCCGGGACGAAGGCACCAAGCACCAAGCTGATCCTTTGTCAAGTGGGCGAGCTCAGGGCGCAAACCCAGAAGCACAGGGTCACAGGCCTAGATCCGGGTCCGTGTCGGGTAAAATTGGATGGAAGTCTTGAATTAGTTTGGGGGTTGGTTTTAGACAAATACACAAATAGTGATACAGTATATATTATTAGATATTATTAGATATATATATACAGATATTCATATACATTTATACATACAGTATATATAGCTATATATTCAAGTCTCTCATTGATTTTTTGTTGTTCACTGGCATTGACCACCCATCCAGCAGCACCAGCAACATCAAAGATATTGTTCTGTTCATGTGTTTTTATTCATCAACAAGAATGCCGTTCATTTTCTTTTGTGGCCTTGCTGGGCAATTCTTACAGTAAGCCAGTTTTGTGGGACTCATGCTATTGAGACTCCCTCCATCGTTTGCTACTGGGGCGTTTTACAAGACAGGATCCAACATTTCCTGAGTTGAGTTGATGCAATTGTGACAAGTGCATCGCAGATTAACATGTGTGAGAGCTACTTCACTCACGTGCTGCAACATAGCAATCAATGATTGAATGGTTAAAGGGAAAATCTACAGGAAACAATGGGGTTCCTGGAGAACTTCCTTTTGAACATGGAAAACACTTTTTTTGAGGATGACTATCACTGTTGCGTGTGAGCAGCGACAACTCATAACAACTCCATGACAAGCCAATCCATGATCCACTTGCTCTCCAAGTGTTCACCCCAAGCTGCTCGACAACGCTGCAATTATGGATCTGATAGTTTTGTGGCTGATGAGTTTCGTGGACCAGCACGACATCCAGAGTTGGTCCGTTGGCCCTCTAACCAGCAACTTCTCATCGATCGGCAGGCGGCGCTGAAACAAAACTGCACGGGCAGAACTAACCCCTGTAAACTGACTGCTTAGTAAGGAATGAGGGAATAGAGCCGACTGGGCCCGCTTGGGCCGCCCTGGGTCCGTCGGGCCGCTGGCGCCCTGAGCCCAGAAACAGGCCCAGCGCTCGTCCTCACGTGAGGAGCGCCCGGGCCCAGTCCTTCACCTCGGAGTATGGCACCAACTTCCCCGCGCCTCGGGTTGCACGGGGCACCGGCATCGGTTGGGCGGCTTCGTTGGGAGACCGGAATTGGCATTGGAATGGCCGGGAGTGGGAGGTGGGCTGGAATGCTTTGGGTTGAATGACGTGCTCCATCCACAGCACTGATGAGATGTGCCCGAATTGGAAGGCTGTGGCAGGTCCTGGTTTGTAGGATTAAAGTGGAGAAGCAACAATTCCAGCCGTGGGCTACCAGAGCGGGAAAAGACGATGTTCACTACAGGTTCTCACAAACCCCAGCTCCGCTAGAGCGCTGGATATCCTGGACTGAATAGAACCCACTCATTTCAATTGCAAAACCTCTTCCTACGTGACAGGAGTTTATTCATGAACAGTCCAGATTCCAGATTAATGTGTGCTGGGCTCTCCGGCAAACAACAAGTTGTACTTTGACCGGAGCAGCTTCTTTCCGATTTTTTGGCTGCTCGATGCTGTCAGGACAGCATCATGAGCCTTTTGTTGTTCTTCCTTTTCTTGGTGTTGTCACGTGACCGAACCTCGTTTGCTTTTCGCATCCTGGTGAGGGCCAGTCACCTCGGGTCCTTGGATCGGTCGAGACGCCCAGCGAGGTGCTCGTGGATCCAATGAACTCGGAAGCGGTGGCTGCAGCGATGGTGCTGAGCAGCCTGCTACTGGGCTAGCAGATGAGTAGGTGATGGGTGCTGTGGGGCATGGCACCAGTAGGTTGCCCATGGTTGCCCCAATGCCTGGAAGCTTGACATGGTCACTATACTGTTCATTTTCAGTGGTCGACCAGAGTCCCCAAAACCCACCGCTTTGACCATATCCCAGACACTCCATCGGACTGCCGTATATGCCGATCAGTTGGGGTGGTTTGGGGGGTCAATTGATCGGCATATATATGGCAGTCCCATGGAGTGTCTGGGATATGTTAATTAAGGAGCAACAGAGTGGACATCGTAAGGAGTTCACCACTGGCAGCGTGGGGCTAAGCTGTTCGTTTGGGCGCACGTTGGCCCAGCATCCGGGGATTTAGAGCAATGTTTAGCCCAATCCAAGCAAGATAATCAAGTAGTGGGTCACAGCTGGTATCCCGTTTTTTTGGGAGGTATGCTGATTGAAATGTTCCCTTACTTATGTTCCCTTGGACTCAGTTACTCGGGCCATAAGCACGGTCGGAAGGGGGCCCTGACCTGAAGTTCGTCCGCACAAACCTCGGGCTACCCGCGGTTTGGATGGTGGATCTGACTGTACCCAGACACTCCATGGGACTGCCGTATATGCCGATCAGTTGGGGTGGTCTGCGGGGTCAATTGATCGGCATATATGGCAGCCCCATGGAGTGTTTGGGGTAGATCTACCCTTCCGTGTCTTCACAGCAGTCATATACCCTGATCGGCGAGTGTAGCCGGGAACAAAGTCTGGACGAAGCAGCGATATGTTAAATATATCTGGCTTGGGATGCCCAAGCTGCCCCATGTGGCCGCTCGTAAAGTGACATTTCATGGCTCTTACATAGGACTGTTTGGGTCAAACACCTATAAACACCTTAGAAGTTGTCTCTGGCACATTGAGTGATTCCAAGAACTCAATCCAAGTGAGACATGGGCATAAGTTCGGCATAAGCCTCAACCCCGCTCCTTTCAGCCCAGAGTTCCAGCCATTGATCTCCTGTCGTGGGTGACAGGGGATGTGATCAGGATTCCAGCAACATCATGCAAACGCCAGACATCGTGCGAACGAATGAACCACGCACAGGTTGAAGCCGAAACTCTTGGGCACCAATTTGCCTCTTCCCTCAATCCAGCTCAGCGGTCTTGAGGCTGGTTTTTGCCTCTTTGCTATCTGGGGTCGATCTATTTGGCTTTCTTTTGCGGCGTTTGGCGCGTTTGGTGGGCGTTTCGTGGCATGTTCCCAGTTGAGAGGGCCCTGGCGTCAGGGATGAAGTTGCAGCTGGAGGGCTCACTGGCCCCTGGAGCTGTGGTTCTTCTCCGGATGTGTTGAAGCCTGTCAAAGTCTCCTGAAACTACCAGAAATGAATCGGAGATGCAACCTTGAAAACATGTTCTTTTGGGTTGACTTTCTGGCCAAACGTGTCCATCCGCCCTAGCAACAGGCCAGCTTCAGGGCTATGCCCCAGCGGTTTCAGTGCTTCCCTGATCCTACACCGGACCCGTGACATTGGCCGCCAGGTCGCGCAGGAAGCCACACTTTCCTTGTTAATTTGCAGCCATGGATGCTTCAAGTCAGAGCAGCTTCAGACCTGGCGCCTGAGCTGAAAAAGGAGAAGGGTGCACGTTTGCAGAGGCAAAGCATGACTTGGAGCACTCAGGGGGTTGCGGTTTCTTAACCAACACCGGAAGATCACCAGCTTGGTTTCACAATGATGGTGACTTGGTCGCTATCTTCCTTGTGGTGCGGTTGTTTTCACTCGCCTTTAGCTTAGTTGAACTCTTCGAGAAGGCGATCGAGAGAGACCCAAACTCAGGTGTTGACCGCGAACCTTGGAATCCTTGACATCCGTCGACCCTTTGGAGTTGTCAGGTCGACCACTCGGCCGTGGTGGAGTAAGCGCTCGGCCGCCCTGGCCCTCGCGCAAGCCGATGTATGTAGATGTTGTCGGTGTTTGTGGGCTTGAGGTATGTTGAGGTTTGTATGTAGGCCCCACCCCACCAGCTCTCCCTTTCGGGGTTTTCGAGGATGCCGAAGGTGAACCGAAGATGGGCAGGGTGGACCCAACAAAGGTCGGACAGCAGTGCGACAGTGGCCCAGGCTTTTGCAAGCTTCGCGACTGCCAAAGTGCTGCATGAGACTTGGACAGGTTGGCTCGGGGGGGCGGAAATTTCACGCAGAGCGCTGGTCCCAGCTGCTTTCGTTGACAGCGGTTGAGCATTGAGCCAAGCATTGATCTTCTTTGTACACATCTTGAAAATCTGATCAGCTTCCCTGCTCGTGGCTCCAGTGAAGGAACAGGATGTGTCCAAGCTTCGGCTTGCAGTGTTTTCTGGGCGCCAGGCGATCCAGGTTTTCTTGTGTGTGTGTTGAGGTGAAGAGTGGCCCATAAAGACCTTATTAGGGGTCAGAAATGGGGCAAGATACCTGGATTTGATCTTCCAATTGTTCAACATGTTCATCCATGTTTTATGGATGAAATTGCCATAGTTGGAAGATAGATTCAGGTATGCAAACTGTCTTATGGATGGTGTGGGATTTTTGGGAGTGTCAACTTGTCGGATCGGGCAGCTGTAAGCCTTGCCGCCCCAGGATTCCAGTGATCACGGAGGACGCTTTCGAGATGCCATCTCCAGCCTTCTTCGCGGAACTCCAAACCACATCGAAGTTGACGGATGACGAGTTCTTTGCCAAATGTGGTGTGAAAGACTTGGCGGACATACCAGGGACGACAAGCAGAGAACTTAACAACCATACGGCATGATATAGAGACTGCGGGCATAGGCATACGGTCTCGTTGCGCTTCGCTGACATACCTTAGGGTTTTGGCAGTGGGGTCCGCAGGTGAAAGAGTTCTTTTGGAGGTCTAACTTGATCGTTCTGCAAAAGCGCGTCAATCTCGAGTCAGCCGTGAAGTGGGCATCCCTTGCATTCCCGCTGTTAGGTTGGATGGTTCAGTGTCATTAAACATGGATCAAGGCTTGGAAGACCTAGAGACACGAGCAGCCCGTTCCACTTTCACCACGGGGTCATCCTCAACGACGATCGACCAGGGAGCAGTTGACCAAGCCGGGCCGGCGTTACGCCTTTGCTGGACAAAGATGGACAAAGCATGTTGACATGACAATGTCCTGTGAAAGAGTGTGTTTATTCTATTTTGTTTTAATCATGTGTTTTTTTTGGGTGTGTGTTCCTTAAGAACCTTTTTGAGCTTACTAAGCTTAGTATATATAACTACTTTGTCTCCCGGCGGTTTTAAACAAGAACGGCGCGTGTGGAAAAAAAAAAGTGGTGACGCGTTTGGACTTCCGGCTTCTTTCCGAAAGATCGATGCTTCGGGGGTTGAACACCGTTTTCAACTCTCCGGTGCCGTGACCTCTTGGCGGAGGGATTTCATTGGGAGCGGAGGACCAATCCCCGCCCAAGTGATGGAAGAAGCCCCGGATGGCAGGAGGATTTTGGATTATGAATGCACCGGCAGGCCTGTTTATGATCTAATTCATGTCGTGTTGCTGTTAGGTCTATACAATTGCATCCACCAGAAAAAGCAATCCTGCCACTGATGTTCGCACCGTTCTGTGGCTGTACACGTGGCCACCAGCCCCCCCAGGCTGCGCTTGTATGTGATGGCCACTCGTGTGCAGACATGGGGCATCATGGGGCCCAGGAGTGGCAAAGAGTTTCATGATGTTATGTTCCTGGACCTTCAAAGGGGTGTCCTGTCTGGAGATCCCGGATGGTAGTGGGCTGGCGAATCCAGCCGGGTGACCCCGACATGAAGGTGCTGGTGGTTGTTTTTGTCTCATTATTTCCTCTAGGGATCCAGTCGAACCTTCTCAGGTTCGGTACGGCTGGACCCGACCCGGGCCCTCTCAGAAGGATGGTGATTGCTCTGGGAGGGTAGTTCTTCACGGCATCTCATGCACCCAGCAAGTGCCCAGCCGCTTTGAGACAACGGGGTTCCCTCACCGGGCCCAGCCACCCGAGCCAGGCTCAGGGGGGTCGGACTCCGCGATGGCCATGACCATCCATGGATGGCCGACCTCAGTGGTTGAAAATCCGGTCTATGTAGGCATACATGCCATGCATGGCTTGTTTTGGGCCGATAGCTTTACACTGTTGCGGACACCTGAGAAGACCTGCTACGTAGTGAAAAGGGGAAGACTATCCAGCTACTTTGCCACAGCAAGTGCAGTGTATGTTAACAGAATAGTTTCATGTGATCCAGCGGCGTTGTTTTGCCGTAAGCAACTGCACTTTGGATTGGCAGCCCTGAGTGCTAGCGCAGCCAGAAAAGAAACAACAAAAACACATGCTTGTGTTTTCCTCTATCAACTTGGATAACTTGGACAAGACCTGGATCAACCCTTCAAAGACACTAGATAATGCCAACGGATTTCAGCGAGCTTTTTTGGGTGGGGAGGACATGTGCATAAATGTGCTGGGGTGCAGGAGGATCATTGTCCCAGTTGTTTGGTCCAGGATTGAAATCACCCACTCTCTTCATCGGTCCGGCAGATCACCCACAAATCCATACAAATCCCAGAGAGACCTGGAGACCGGTCAGACACTGGAGACCTGGAGATCCTTGCTTCTTTGCCTCTTCGGCGGCTTTTGCAGGTGATCAAGGCCCTGTTCCAGGAGATCGCCGTCGTCTTCGTGCCGCAGAACTACGCGTCGACGCATGAGGATTTGCGGCTCCGCGCCAACCAGGCCGTTTAGATGATTTCGGTGTCCGGTCGTGCATGGGCATGGGGAAGGGACATCTAGGGGATTTTGGACATCTTCGATTCCAAAATCAAGATCCTTCGGAACTCCCAGGCGGCATCCAGGCTTATGGCGACGCTTCAGCCCTTGGAAGATAAGGTGGCAAAGTTGCAGACCAGGTGGCTCGGTCGGGCCTCGAGCTACTGTAGCCTGGGGTCTTTGATTGAAGAACGGAGGATATTGTGTCGAGATATCCTTTTTCAGCAGGTTCAGAGGAAAAGGGAAGTTGTAAATCTCCCCCCAATCTGCCCGGAGAACCCCAAAATGACTTGCTGATTAGAACCCAAATCGGATAACATGTTTCCATGGAACTCTAATCAGCAGAACCCTAATTTGGGAACCTGGGAGACGACATGTTGTACATCTCACATGTCAACTGACAGTGCTGGATGGAAATTTTGGTTTGTAGTTGGATGTGTGCAAAGGTATGTGACATATTTTGGTGCAGGGTTGTATGTTCCAGCACGAGCCCATTGCAGTAACGACGTTCACGTTTGCGGCTCCATTCCCATCGGACTTGAGGCGATGTTCTTGTGCAAGAATGATGCAAGACAAAATCATTAGGTTGAACGGTTGAACTGTCATGGGTGGGTCTGGCCCATAGAATAGGGTGTGTGTGGCATGGTCAAGATGCACGTTGCGCATAGGTCGGGAGGTGTGTGCAGTGTGTGTGTGTGTGTGTTAAAATGCAGCATATGACTGCGCTACCTTTGCTGCCTTTCGGGTATGTTAAGAAACTGGCAGAACGAGAGCTCTTTTGGCGAGGTCGAAGCATTTCGTGTTGACCCGAGGGTTACGGACCAAACCTGCACCCGGAGCGTGCGGTGATTGTACCGTGACCACCGAAACCTGTAGACAGCTTCAGGGTTCGCAGGTGGCGCAGACCTGTTCGAAAGGATTCCCCATCAGGTGGACGGAACCATCCATCAGGCTTCCTCGAATTCGAGGCTGACAACGAGAATGAATGACTGTGCCATTGACTTGGGGCTTATATTTCAGCTTGCAACTAAGGTTCAAATCGCGAGTCACCACGCGCGCAGCGGATGGTGTTGAGACTGATGTGGCCAACATTTTGGGAGCCAGGAGTGGAGAGATGGTGACTTGTTATCCAAATGGATGTACATTGGAACGTGCCGGAAACCACGTACTGTATAAATACTATTGCATTTCTACATGGGGACACGGCGCATTTGGGGAACAAGCAGGGCGCTCTAGTCTTGGGTGGGAAGTGCATCCGAGAAGGAAGAGGTTTAGTTTGACCCAGGAACAGCAACAGGAGTAGAATGGAGTAGAAGAGTGTGTGTTTGTGTGTGTGTGTCACATCTCTACCGCACTTTTGTTTGAAAGCTGCCGGCCTGGGCGCACCCGACTTGGTGCGCTTAACCTGACCGACTCGCTCATTGTGTCATGAAATGCCCGGTTTGGGTGGGGGAAGCTGGTTCCAGCTATGCTAGGCAGGTTCGGGTGGGAGCGGAGCCCTGGGATCTTTTTAGACCACCGTGGACCTTCCAGGAGCTGGGAATCCAGATGGGTTCATAAAGAATGGCATCAAAGCTTAGATCGAAACATGTTCTTGCCCAAGTCTTTTCAGTCCCTTCCATGTTCCATGTTCCAAGGTGAGCAAAGGGAGCAAAGACCGAGATTCAGAGGAGGCGATGAGACAGCTGGGACGTTTCAAAAAAAAAGGATCAAAAGCATGTTTGGGTTGAACGGGGCGGTTTTTTCTTCATCGGAGTGGCCCTCGTTTTGGCTCCTTTGTTTGTTTGAAAGGCCCGACCTGTAGATCCCCAAGGCAAAGTTGTTGGGATGGAAAGCATCGTGTGTTGACTCCACTCAACCAAAAGCATTGCTGCACTCTTGCAAAAGCATTCTTTGTCCAAGAGCAAGTCGCAGTTGATCCTGTAGATAGGCCGTGGAAACCTACGGATAATTATATGACTGAAGTCAAAGACATGTTTTTCCTTGGAGCACCTCATGTGTTTTGAGCGTATGACGCCTTTTGGGGTTCTTGGGGAAACCACTGCTGTTCTTTTTCCGTGCGTCTCTATCTCGAGCCTCGAGGTTTTTTGGATGTTTTGGGTCGGTACCTTCTCTCAGGTGGCTGGATCGATCCAAGAGTCCCAGAGGAGACCCGACCGTTGTAGATAAGCTTTTGGGACCCGATGGGGTGGATGAGCTACAAACAAACCATCCAGTTCAAAGAATCACCCCCCCAGACGCTCCATGCGCCGGCACATACGGCACCAAATCACGATTACGCGATTACGCGTCCGGATGCGGCCTCGTTCGTATTGGCTTACATGGAGCGTTGTGGCAACCGGTTCCGACGGCTTCCTCACTTCCTCCATCCAGGCTTCGACGGCCGGCGAGCCGTTTTTGTGTGCCAACTCCGAGCAGATCTTTGAAGATGCAGATGAGCTTCCGCCGGTCGCACGGTGAAAAGAAGTGTCCGAGAAGTGTCCGGAAGGGTCTCCAGAATGTGAGTGAAACAGCTTGATATCTATGGATATCGTTAAATTTATGAATTTAGATTCTACTGGTTGATGTGGTTTTGGTGCTCCAGCCGTGGCCGTGGCACAGACCTAAGGTGATCCAGCAGGCTTTCTGACCGGGCAGGTCCGATCTGCCAGTCGGAAGCAGCCACAACCAGGGTGAGGCTTGCGAGGAAACGATGCTTTCCCATTTTGTGGCGAAAGTGCTCGAATAATCACCAAAATTAATCCAAATAAAGTACATCAAGCGCATCAAGCAACTGCAACATCATATTGAAGTCATGATTGATTATGTTCAATCTTCAGCCCGCATCCTTCCTAATATTTGGTTCGTTGAAAACATGCACAATCAATTTATGAATGCATGCAATCATGCATGCAGATTTGATGCCTCCACCCAGCTTCGTTTCAGCTCGAGCTTATTGTCCTCGAAAGAAGGGCCTTCCCAGCTCCCACACGACCCCGCCGCGATGAGTGGTGCGACCAAGTTGCCACCACAGTGGCGCTCAGGGCCTTGTGGCTTGGGCTGTTCGAACGACTTCGATTAAAAAAAAAAAACATGCCTGATGACCCCGCCCTCCCTCTTCCAAAAAAGAGACCTTGAAAGCTTCCGTGATTTGTGGGTGCCCATCGAAGTGGTACGAGCTGACTAATGTGAAGAAAACACATGGACTTGGCTTTGCTACATGTCCATCTCCAATGATTATTGGATGCGGCCAACGACCGCGGCGAACGACCGCGCCGACCTGACGACCAGATTGGAGGTGTTTGACCGGGTCGGACTCCGAATGGAAGAAGGACGGAGGTTTTCACAGCACCCGAAGAAATGTGAGAAAATGATGATCACATGCCAGGACCCTCCTGTCGGGGTGCCCTGTCTGGAAGCCTCTGGGTAGTGTGGGGTAGTCCATTGGACACCCCTTGGAGGGTCCCGGTGACATCCATAATTGATGGCGCACCCACTGGATAGACAGGCAAATAGGGTGTAGAAAATAACTTTTAGTCGATGAAAGAGTATCAAGACTATATGTTAGAGAAAGGCCTGTTCATCCACTGTTACTGGAAATGGATATACCCAAGACATGGATTGAATTGTCATGAATTGTTTTCGTTTTCTTGCTCTATAGCTGGGCTGTGCGTGTCAATCCGACCACATTCAGACACCTTCAGGCTCGTTGAAGGCACCGAAGGCACAGGTGTAGGGCCAAAGGCCTTGCCAGTGTCCGAGCTTCATTACGTCCACCAACCGGAATCGACTTGGACATACGATCGGACCAATTCTGCCTCTTTGGGAAGCTGCGAAAGAACTCGCGCAGACGTGCACGAGTTCTGGATTCTGGTCGAACAGACCTCCATGCAGGACTCCCTAAGTTTCGAGGCCTCATGCTTGACTCAAGTCTGAGCTGATCGGCTCCGGGATTGCGGTGTGGCCCCAAACGCTATGACATCGCATGACCACGCATGACCTGCAGGTTTCAATTGCTCGTTCCATTGCATCATTGGCCAGATTCCTCGTGAAGAGCTTCAAAGGGCTCTTGGGAGTTTGGGTATGTTTGGGTGCCACTCCGTGTTTTTGTTATGTTTTACCCACCGCCTCTTGGGCTGTGGGATTTTCAGGACGGCTTTCCGCCCTCCACCGTCCTTTTATGGATTTGCATTAGTCCATGGCACTTGGATTTGCACAAATGAGTGAGCACGGATCACATGGGTGCCCGTCCGGTCGATGGGTGGAGTGAGCACAGTTGAGGTTGAGAATGTAAAGCATGCTTGTTCATAGTGTATAGTACATATTGTCAGATATTATAAAGTATATAACTGAGCAATCGTATATAGTATAGTTTAAGTCTATATAACAATTATATTGTGGCTGCAGCATGTTACAGCCCCTATTATTACCAAATGGTCAAACATCTCCAGCGTCAGAAGACGGTGTTTACAGAGCTTGTTGAGCCGCCTTCAATCCTTGAGAAGCGCAAAAGAGGAAAGAAGGGATGGCCCCTTCCCCAAAAAAAGAACACCATGCCCTACCAGAACATGAAGAATGAACATGAACAGTGTACATGTGTAATATAGTGTAATTATTTGTTTGACATGTGTTTCTTCCTCATACATTACAACGGCCTCTTGGTCTGAAAGCTAATTCCACAAGTAAGAGGCAACAGTCATCTCCTGTTGGGGCAAAAGCCGGGATTTGAAGAGACACCCTTAACGATGCCTAAGCGAGACCCAAAGCCAGCGATGCCCTTGAGCATGCCACTCATCACTTTCCCACTTACGCTTAAACATAGAGATGGTTTAATGCCAACAAAGATGTTGCAGTAACAGCTTGGTGAATGCTTTAAGTGTCAGCTGAGCTTTGTTGTTGCCTTCGACTCTAGTGAAGCTTATTTGTTTGTTTGTTTGTCTCCTTCGAGTGTTCGTGCTCATACATCGCTGGTTTGGTTGAAGCCTGCCTTACTAACTGCAAGAAAGCGATACCTCTTTTACAAGGCTAAAGCCTAAAGCTGCCCAAAACTGAGGGACGCGATGGGACCCCCCATCTAGGTGATACTGTAGCATAATATTGAACAAGTTTAACAGCCGCACATATGGGAAGCTGGACCAGTTAGGTTTCCAAGCTCGATTCGGCTAGATTGTTTGACCGCTTTTGGTCGTGTTCTCTCCGCTCAGCATATTGGCTTTGAGACTTAGAACCATGGAGACCAGGTGAGCACGACTTGAGCCTGGTCGGAAGGAGCAGGGAAGAAGAGGAGACTAAGACTAGGACAGCATAGACCAGGTATGGCCAGGTGCTTTTCCTGTTTGGAAATTGTTTGGAAGACGATCAGATGCTTTTCATTGAAAGAGCCAAGAGCCATTGAATTTTGCTTCCAGGTATCCCATGGACCAGTCAGTCAGGTGAGTGGTACTATATAAAAGACTTGAATTCCTGGTGGTGTGCCACATGGTGATGCCTTTGAGAACCCAGCCACTCCACATATGGCATACCATAGGTTTTCTATCGAACGTTTTGGCCTGTCACGACTGTCACCGTCACTGTCAGGTCGACCATTTTCAAACGCTCCGACCTTCTGAGGATGGTCCCGTCCCCGCAGCACCCTCTCGTCGGTGGACTTTGGACAAGGACCTTTCTCCCTAATTATGAACAAGTCGAGCCCCTGCAAGTAATAGGAAGGACACTGTTTTGAGGTCACTGTGCGTGTCGGTCTCGTTTTCGGAGCGTGCCAGCACGGTCCGATGCCTGATCCTCACCGGTGCCGAGGAACACGGTGAAGCCGTGCAACTTGGCAATGGCTGTGGGAGAGCTCCTGGCTCAGTCGGGTGCTGGACCCGGTGTTGTCCATTCTGGCCCATGAAGTACCAACATGTACCAACCAGTACCTATGACTCTATGGAAGTGGATGGCACGGCCTAAAGAAGGCGATTGTCCTTCAAACAGAGGTGAGTATCCTTGTTCTTGGGTTACAAGACGAGACAGATGATTTCAACATATTATAACTGGTCACTGACCTCTTGGAGCGCTTAGGGCGGCGAAACAAAGAACACTCTGACATTGGTTTGCAGTTAACTCAATTCCCAGGAAAAATGGCGATGGAACCGAAAGGTGAAAGAGTCAGAGCACTTGAAGGTGTTTTAACAAAGGAGTTGTTCACTTGACTGCGGAAGCTAGTTACTGCACTAGCCCTTTACTGCAAGAACGGTAAGGTGCAAGGGTCCGAAGAACAGAACTATCTAACAAACGCACTAGCACTTTACCAAAGCTAAGGACACCTGTTTTTGGGGATACCATGCGAACAACCACCATGGAAACAACAAAAGGAAAAGTGGAGTCACAGCGTGTGCAAAAGTTTTCATCCGCGCAGGTACAGAAGTTTGCGTCCAAACTTCCATCCAGTCGATTTCCCTAGCTTCGTTGGCGTGACTAGGAAATCGACCGTCACGCCCCCTACGACTTAAAAGTTGAGAAAAACAGAAACTCTTAGTTACAAAGGTGGACACACACAGAACGCCGATATCGGCGCTCTGGGGGAACTTACTAATCACCTAAAAAGCCTTAGAACGAAAGGAAAGAAAGACAGAAAGGAAAACGCAAAGGAAAGAGAGAAAGATAGGTGTAGTGACAAGGCCCACTAGTTACGAAACCTGCTAGTTTCTGACTACTTAGCCGAATGAATTAAATGCAGTAGTTAGCGAGCGGGACATACGTCTTAAACCGCCCGGGTAGCTAGGAGTAGAAAAGGAGAAAGAGAAGGAAAGGTACCGACACACAAGTGTGTCGAGTACCATTTCCTTCTGTTACCCTAGATAGCGGGTGGGATAGAAACACGAATTAGGTTGCAAGGTGGGGGGGGTGTGTGGAAGTGCAAGTGTGGACAGTAGCTTCACTGGTCTCAATTCCTCACATGGAAATGCAGCACATGGAAATGCAAGTGGAGATGCAAGTGGAGGTATTTCGTAAGCCCGACGGCATCAAATTCAGTAAATCCAGTATTGAAACTAAAGCGGTTAAGAAAATCCAAAGAGAGGTGGAGAACGGTGGAGTCAGTTACACGATTGAAGACAGCGCCTCCTTGCGGAGGATCACACCCAGCACCCAAGTGGGACGACTGAGCGCGTCACACTCTGACATTGGTTTGCAGTTAACTCAATTCCCAGGAAAAAATGGCGATGGAACCGAAAGGTGAAAGAGTCGGAGCACTTGAAGGTGTTTTAACAAAGGAGTTGTTCACTTGACTGCGGAAGCTAGTTACTGCACTAGCCCTTTGCTGCAAGAACGGTAAGGTGCAAGGGTCCGAAGAACACAACTGTTTAACAAACGCACTAGCACTTTACCAAAGCTAAGGAAACCTGCTTTGGGGGATATCATGCGAACAACCACCATGGAAACAACAAAAGGAAAAGTGGAGTCACAGCGTGTGCAAAAGTTTTCATCCGCGCAGGTACAGAAGTTTGCGTCCAAACTTCCATCCGGTCGATTTCCCTAGCTTCGTTGGCGTGACTAGGAAATCGACCGTCACGCCCCCCTGCGACTTAAAAGTTGAGAAAAACAGAAACTCTTAGTTACAGAGGTGGACACACACACACCAATTGTTGATTGTAGAGTTGCAGAGGGCTTGACATCAACGGTTCTCACCCAGAGGAAAGGTCTCCTAACTTCTTCGGCTCGAGGAATTGGGTACATCCACCTCTACCAGTTGCTTCATTGCAGTGCCACCATCTCATCTCGTTAGATGGGTCTTTGACTCTCCACCGGCGTCCCTCCGAGGCTTCATGTTTCTCTTGGCCTGGCTCCTCTTCCTCGGTGCCGATGCACAGACCTGCCTGCCCGATGCCATTCCCAGGGAGCAACGACAGATGCTTGGCCCAGCTAGTCCAACTGTGGGGGAGTGCAACTTGGTGCAGCCTCAGCATCAAAGAGTCAATTCCATGTATACCAGGACCCTCCAAGGGTGCCCAATGGAAGCCTATAGGTAGTGTGGGGTAGTCCATTGGACACCCCTTGGAGGGTCCAGGTAGGATGTGTTTCATTCCATGTTTTTCCAGTGACTTAGTAGGAAATAGACACCAGGGTGGTTGTGGCTTACCCTGGTCAGAACACGGCGCGTCGCGGTGTCAGGGGGACCCTTGGCACTGGAAGGTGGAAAAGGGACAGCTGAGTCCTTCGACCTTAGCTGTCTCGTCACCCACCCCGTTGCGAAACTACTTGCTGGCACGCAGCGTTGCGCATGCTGCGTGCTGAAGCTTGTATGCTTTTGACATGTTTTGAAAAAGTCCCGTGGGTTGGGGGTCTAGGTAAGTACCTGTCCATTTGAGTGTCTAGGGCCTAGGGAGTTTTTTTTCAAATTCCGGAGTCTGGAGACTTTTGGGCCAGAAACAGCTCCTATAGGACAACCCTTGCATGCGGTCTATTGTATATATGATGGTGTTTATCGCGTGTTTCACGCCACCTCGTTGTTCGGTGTGAAGAATTCGACCACCTTTGGCCGGCCTGCAGGCACATGACAAAAACCATCTCCGCAGTCCCACCATGTTCTGCCGTTGAAAACTTTGTGGCGACCCCGGAACACCTCCACCGCCTCGGAGCTCGTGCGGGCCGCACATGTATCCTCGGTGGTTCAGAGGTTGGACCTGTTGGGAGCCACCTCGGCCTCCAGTTGTACAGCACCCCTTGGGATTCTCCGACTCCAATGTCCTTTTCCCCCCTTCCAAGTCACTCACGGGCAGAGGACACGGGGATCGTCCTCGCAAGGAGTTCCACGAACGGGGCGACCGGAGCGCTCCTGGGGACTGAAACAGCGCAGAACAGCGCAGCCCGACCGGTCCGGACCCGGCCACGAGCCGCCAGACCATTCGGGGCAACACGACCCCGAACCCGAACGGGTGGCGTCAACTGGGCAGGAACATTTCCATGAATGGTGTGTCCATGCCCATTGGCATTACCTTCGGCTCCTTGACCTTGGTTCCGGTGGTGGCGAGCCGTTGGGGTGGTGTAGCCAGTCCGCAGCCGATGTCGAAACGGCTCCAACATGGCTCGAGAGTCCTTCACAGAAGAAGTGGGGACGGGGGGAAACATCCATTTGTTGCTTGTTTGGGTTTCCAAGTTGATCTGCGTGTCCGCTGCGCGTCCGCTTGCCCCCTGCAGTGGGGAGAATTCCAGGCAATGTTCGGGATTGCCCCACATACCTAGATCTTCCAACTACGCAAAATGTTCGGCCTTTTGGCTGGTTTTATAGATGCAAGCAGAAGTTTTGCACAGTTGGAAGATCTATTGTATGAAAGGTTCTGCCAATATTGAAAGAATGGGAGCGGGCATTCGGGTTTTGGTTGGTCTCACACTTGCTGGGACAGTCCTCAGCCAAGACCTTTGCAAGATATAGAGAGAGAGAGGGATGCTTGTTGGGCCATTAGGCATGTCAGAGCACACCCACATTTCAACATATTGATACACCGGGGTAAAAAATGGATGGCGCAACTCCGGGCAGAAAGTAGCGAGGCTATACATGGCTCAATTCATGTGTGTGTAACCGGTTTTCTGCCAATAGACGGCTCAACACACCTTAAGGATAAAAGATCTTAAAGAAACAAAGGTCATGTTGCGCCATGTACTGGAGAAAATTTGGGTAGATTTGCCAATTGTCTCAATGGCCAGTAGATGGCACAATAGCAAATTCCGAGCCATGCATTTTCAAGTCGGAGTATGTGGAAAGAATTGAAACAACAAAACATCGCCTAATTTCTCGCGATCCTCCATTTCGCTCATTTCGGTCATATAGAGCATCCGACAAATTCTACGAAGACTAACGTTGTTCCCTACGCGGGTGAAGAGGCCTCCTGATCGGAGAAGTCTCAATGTTTCTGGCTAAGAATGAATTTTGATTTCTGTCAATATCCACCACTTACAAATTAATTATTCCATATTATTCCATATCAACAATGAACAGCATCTTCGGGCAAATTCATTTCTCAGTTGTTCAGCCTCGTTCAGCAACCAAACGTTGGGGGCCGTTTTTCAATTGCTCGTGCAGGCGATTGGGATTCTGCGAAGGCCCACCGACAAGCGTGAAACCCGCAGGGAAACGTAGACGTAGACGTCATTAAAGAGCTTTAGAGAGTTATCTGACCCTTTCCTAAGGCCTAAGAGTCTCAAAATATAAATATAACAGAGTCTCAGAGAGCTACATTCTGGAATCTTCGTATCTGATAGAGCACTATTTTGGCCTAAAAGAAATGACTATTGCACAAGCTTGCTGTTGGTATAGGTATCGTTTTCTTTTGGCTCATCTTGGATCGCGTTCTTGGTGCAGTATATATTTGCTAGTTAACATCTGTCTGTTAACATCCGCGTCCTAAAAAAAACATCCATTCGCCGACCGAAATGGATGGGCTTTGGGACTCTCCGAGGTGATGGGGGAGGTCTATGGTATTTTGACCTCCGAAGTCTTGGGCTATCACACTCAGATGCCAGTCTTGGGAGTCAGGCAGAGCGAGTTAGTCGGAGGGCTGGTGGGGGGTAGGGGGTGCCCAGTCGGAGTTTGGTGCTGACCCGATGACCCCGCTCCGGCTCCCAATCACCGTTGATTTGATAGGCTCTATCCAATATATGTATTGGTCCGGATCCGCAGCTTCGGTACGATTGGACCCTCCTGGCGCCTACATGAACTTGATTGAAATTGTGTCTCCAATCACCCTCCAAAAGAGGGTGGCTGTGGATCCACAATACTTGTAGTGTACTGCAGAGGCAGTGCAGTCCTTTTTTCACGGAGGCAAGCAGTCACCATCGGATGTTAGATGTGAAAAAAAGGCGATGACTTGTTGTTCTTCCCCATGCAGAGTGAGGCGATGTCACCTCCATCCCATCCTGGGGATCTGTGGCGGTTCATGTTCAAGAAGAACCACGGTGTGACATCGCGGAACCTCGTTGGACATCACCTGCACCTCCAAGGAAGCAATTGCGCGCAGGCAGCAGTGACAATCTCCACTGCTTAGGAGGTTGTCCGGTCACCGTGCCTTGGAGAAAATCCACTTAATGTGATGGAACATAAGCACCAACGTCGATACCTTAGGATGATCGCAGATCCCACACTGTGTTTTGCATGTGTTTGTTGCCGACCTCCGTGTTATCCTCCTGGGCAGCGCTTCCGCGGATTGCCTCAATCTTCGGAGCACCAGAAACCAACCAGCCCGTTTGATGTGACGTCGCCGATCGACTGGACGTGGGTTGTTCTTTGAATCGGGTAAAGAAAGGAGGCGTGAGACAATTGATGATTGCCCTTATAGCCTATAGCTCTAACACATAATAGCATACAGTAATCATCCGATCATTAATGTTTCTACACCTGTGCTTTACGTTGAGGCAAGGCAACCGTTGGCCGTCCAATCCCCCCATGTTTCCCGACCCCCGAGCCGAGCTAAGAAACAGTGGTGCCGAGGGGCACCTCGTGTAGGCTAGCTGGCTAGCCGCGTTGCCGTGTTGCATGTTCACCTTCCGTCAGGCGGGACTGTTGGAGAACTGCACTTGGCCGCCTCTTTGCCACGTTGCCTTGGAGAACTGGGAGGGCTCCTCGCTGAGTATAGTGGAGTAGAGCGGAGGCCTCGAGGCCTGAAGGGCTGGTGATTCGAAGGCAGATCAATCGAGGACTGCAAATACACAGTTCAGCTCACATACACAATATTATAGTAGTTTTTTTGTTGTTTTTTAAAGGATTTACTACAGTAATAATATTATGGTTCCTTGTCTATGTACCATGCACAACATTATTGTTGGTAAACCAACTGTTGGATTTGCCACGCGGCACCCCGCGCGCGCGGTTCCTGCCGTGAAGTACAGCCTTGTATCATGTTCAAACTGTCCTTTTGGAGAACAGTTCGTTATAAGTCGTGTTGTGCTTAACGCTACAAGGTGGTGCACACTGGCTGCAACTGTTGCTCTAGCTGCTGCTACAACGGTGTCGGTCGACGGCGGCTCTAAGGATCATTTGCATCGACATCCTGGCTTCAGAAAGAGGAAGCTTTGGGCGAGCGACGCCCAAAGAATTTGGGACTCTTGCAGTGAAAACAAGTGGGTCGACCTCATATGTTGTTTTCGTGTTTCATTTGGTGGCCCACATGGGCAGCACGGCCCCCTTTGCGTTCCAGACGAAGGAGGGTCGGTCCCAGTTCAGTGCTCGGCGTGCGCTTGCCGTCGGAGACAAGGAGCGCCTTCAAACAAGAGCGGTCCCCGACCGGTTCGGCTACGGCGATGAGTTTCAATCATCATTCATTCCATAGATTGAACTGCTGGTATGAGATGTGGGTGTGGGTTTTTCATATGCACCCGAATCCCTGGCCCCTCCGACTCATCATCCACACTCCGGGTTGGGAGCTCAGGCAGTTTGGGCTACTTGGGTATCGATGGCCTGTATGTCCTGGGCATTGCACGACGCAAGAGCCGGGCCGACACAGGCATCCACATGAGTTACTATGGCTACCTGGTGAAATCGAGCCAAGTGAAGGATGAACATGCTGCTCCTCTCAACGTTTGTCCTCCCTTCGCACCCCCCCTATAATAGAGAAAATCATCAGGTGGAGATTTTAGGTTGACAGTGCAGGAGGGCAGATTGCGAGGAGGGTGAGAAGATGTTGGGTAGTTGATTCCACTGAACTGGAGGCTTTCGATGTTGAGGAGCCGCACCTTCGCGCCAAGCGCAGCTAGTGACTTAGTGAGTGAGGCATGGTGAGGCAAAGAAAGCAATCTCACCCCGCCACGAGACTTGCTCCAAGAGTGAAAGCGAAGCGGGACGTGTCATCAAAGCTCTAAGAGCATCTAGTCCAGCGTGCCAAATCCCAGCGACGTCCACAAAATACTGCACCTGCTACGATCTCTAGCACACCAGTTCACAAGCAAACCTTTACAAGGATTGCAACACTCGACAAAACCTTGCACCTGCGCAGCAAAATCCCACGTCGCACTTGGAAGCCTTGTTTGTGCGCAAATTCCACGCTGTTTATTTCAAACAAATTTGACTCGGCATCCATCTAAGACCTCCAAAACCTTCCCCAACGAGAGGGCCGACATGACTCTTTTGCCCCCCCGACCTTTTGATTTTTGCAAGTTGCAACCTTCGCGAGACAGTGTGTCATGTGAACATTTGTGGGTCACGAAACGACCGGATGTGAACATCGCGCCGGGCCAGCGCAGGTGGCAAATTGAAACAGCTGTACCGTGCTTACGTTTCACAAGAGAGTTTCAAGAAACAAACTCGCACAATATGACTGTGGAGCAAGAATCTCAGTAAGAGTGCTGGAAGAGTGTCAGGCAAACAGGTCCCACGAGAGACTCTAGCGACAGTGTCGCAGGAGAGTGCCCCCCATAAGCATGCCCTGCAAGAGTGTCACCCAACAGTGTCACGCAAGAGCGTCCCACGAAGAATATCCTACAAGGGTAGTGTCCTGGAGAGTGTCCCACAAAGTTGTGCCAAACAAGAGTGTCCTACAGGAGTGTCCCACGCTTAAGGGGGTCAAGCAAGAGTGTCGTGCGAGAATGTCTCACAAGAGTGTCAAACAAAAGTTCCGACGAGGGTGTCCTAGAAGAATGTCCAGGAATAGTGTCGTATAGAAGAGTGTCAATGAAGAGCGTTATTATATTCTAGAAACATGTCAAGCAAGGGTGTTTGTAAAGATCGTAAAACAGAGTCAAACACAAGCGTTATGTGAGGTTTGTACTAGTGGAAACACACACGGGAGGCCTGTGGCAAGCTCGGTTGGGGTATGTTGCACACAGTTCAGGCAATCTCAATGCTTCGTGGTTCCACCCAGAGAAGTATGCGGCCAACATCAGTGAGGTGGATTTGAACGATCTTGCCACATGCGTGCCTTTGAGTTACACTTGGCTGACAAGACGTGGAAGTGGAAAAGGGCCACTGATGTCCTTTCCAAACTGTGTCGGAAACAGATGATGATGGAGTAGTCCCAGACCATCCATGTAATTAATATAATTTACCGTTTACCATATATTTTAGTATAATATACATTTGGAAAAGTACCTTTCTGTTGACCCTGTACCTTTCTTTTGACCCTGATTCATGCAAGGATACAACTACTCTATGCATGGGTGATTTGGGATTGTTGAGTTCTCTCGGGATTGCTGGAGTTTGACAGCCTTCCTGGTCCTTTATGTCAGCCGTCTCGGTTCATCACACCTGACGCAGTTGATTCGCCTGAAGAGGATTGCCTCAAAGACCCAATAATTACGGAGAACCAATGGGCTTTAGTTTAGTCAATGCTGGTCGTCCCCTTTGCATTTCTTGAAGAACATGGACATCTCCCTCCTGACCCATGGCTGAGGCAGACGGTGTGGATCTCGGCTATCCTTTGACTGCAGAGATCTACTTGGCCATCACCGGGGATTCCCTGGGCGTTCGAACCGATCCAGCCTCCGGCCGGCCGCTTTGGCGGGCGGACGAAGGGCACGGCGCTGAAATGGATCCATCAGAGGGCTGATGTGTGACAGTAGGGATCCAGCCGTACCTTCTCAGGTTCGGTACGACTGGATCCTCCTGGCACTTGCATAAGAGTGTTTCCAATCACCTTTTGAGAAGGTACGACTGGATCAGTGTTGGGATGTTTTTTTCCAAGAGGGGGGAGGGGAAAAGGCACGGCAGAAACGCACGAAGTTCACCCCAGCATTGGCATCATAGTGTCCACTGGTTTCCACCCATTTTTGGGCAAACGAGTATATTAACGCATTGAATGGCAATGGCATGTCGCATATGGTATAGCACCTTGAGCCCAATCAATGAACTGAATCCATATAGGTACAATTGAATGGAGTTAAAGAGATCCTCATTTTTGTAGTGAAACGTTGCAGTCCGCCATCACCTCGGAAGTGCCCTTTGCATCATGGCAGTGCTGATGCCGCGCTTTCACTGCACTCCGTTCTGATAAGGATCATGATGAATTGCTGGCAAGAAAAGTGGTTCTTATCTGCAGCATGCCGAGATGTACCATCAAGTTGTATTGCTGTGGTGACTGCTGGTCAGGGATGGGGCATACGAGAAATGAGTCAGCAGGCATTCTTCCACAACATGCCACTGGCGTTTGCTACCGCTGCAGACTATGCCACCTATTTGAGGATCAACAAGGATCTCCAGTCACTGAGCAGAAGAAAATCGATCCACAGTCAGGGTGGTCAGTGTACATTCATGGACATGCATTGGGGTGTTGCTTTGAACGGATCGGCTTCGTGTATTTGCCTTGACAACCAGGCATTTTTCAAATCCAAGAATCTCTGAGTATCCCGTTGGAACTTGCCAAGTGATGCAGGTCCATGGCCTATTGGTGGAGTCCAGACTCATCATTTGTGCTCTATGAGCCCGCTTTGGTGGAGCTTCCTCCATATAGCAAATCTGAGTACAAGCAGAACCTGTTCCAGTCCCAGAACGAGACCCACCTGCAAATCGGCATCCTGCAAGACGGCCCGGCTGTGTCACACTCGTACTTGTGCACACAGAGAGAAAGAGATTATAAATATATATAGACAGACAGACAGACAGACAGACAGACAGACAGATAGATAGATAGATAGAGGGAGAGGGAGAGAAGGACATTGTGGTTGATCAATTTCATACTCCAATAGTTGGAACTGGACTGGGTTCGCTTGAATATACCCTTTGGAAGTTTCAGGACTGATTCAGACCTGGTTTTGGTCGTGTTTTTGGGGTTTGGTGGTGTAGGATTTCGGGAAATCAACAGTCTATCTTCTGCAGGGCCGCTGTTTTTTTTTGCGCCGATCAGGATGGTCGAAGTGTAGAGAGAGAGAGAGAGAGATATGGAGACGCACACACGCACACACCTAGAAATCAACACGGTCAAATGCATCAAATCCGGCTCTCGCACGGTCAATGCTTTCGCTCTCCTCAGGAAGTTTCCGTGCTCGCCACGCACGTGGCGGCCGGCTTTGACCTTGCAGCCGATCGAGCCTATGGCCTGGCACGGAACGTGCGGATCTCCGACAGTGGCTGGGCCGGTGCTGGTCATGGCGTTTTTCCGGAAGAACACTATATTGAGAGGTTTTGAGCCTGAAGTTGGCAGTTAGCTGAAGAAGATGCAAACAACCCACTATATACATATATTGTAAGCAGAATGCGCATAGAGGTTCCAGCTTGCCAATCAGGCAGCAGGAAAAAACTAAAGCGGTTTGAGTCATGTTTGATTCCCACCGGCAGCTGTTGGAAGAAATCCAGTTTTCCGCATGGCAGGTGAATGCAGGTGGTGCAAGACGTTTTCCTTCAGTAACAGTAGCATCAGTCATGTGTTGTGACCGACCCTGCCCCAGCCCGGGACCCGGGCTGATCGTCCCACAGTCAAAGGGGCGGCAGGGTTGGCAGGTGGAAACCACTTTTGGCTTTGTGCCCGAGGCGTTTCTTCAGTGTTAAAGACGCTGCAAGCCTCCTAATAAGTGATGAGCCAGCAGAATGTTGCAGTTGCAGACAAGTCCTTGTCCCTCCATCGCAGTCGATGCCCGATGGTCGGTCCACCAGAACGCCCCGATGTTTGCTCGATCCAAACCAAAACCGGAGCGGTCCGGATGGTAGAGTCTTAGAGGACAAAATGACCGACTCGGACGGTTTGCCGGACGTTCATCCAATTGGCTGGAAAACATCGACGTCAATCGTATGAACGTTCATCGATCCGAACACACGACCAGCCAATGGCAGCCAATGGCAGCCTAGACGCCTGGAGAGAAGAGAACAGACCTGCTCCCTTCTCAGGCTCGGTTTCTCCTGGACCCTCCAAGGGTGGACCCTCCAAGTGAACCTGCTCCCTCATCCCGGTTCGGATCCGGGAGTCTAGACGATGAAACAATCGATGTTGCACGAGAGGTTCAATCTACCCCAGAATGACAAGGCCGTCATGTTGGCCAAATAGGCACAACGTCATGTTGATTTCTCCGCCATGCCGTGTCCCAAAGTAGAGGAACAGATAGGAACAGTTTGTCTTTCTATCTGGCCTAAGGCGACATGCAAGCCTTGCTTTTGATTCTCGCGCAGACGGCTGCCAGTGACTACTGGGGTACGGCCTGTACATGGCTCCAAGCGAACCGGAACTTCTGGGCGGAATGGATTCCGGACAAGACGGTGTGCTCCATCGGTAAGGGCCTGGTGAACTTGCAAGGGGACTTCGTGATGTCCCGGGCGGACGCCGTGGATGCTTGGAGCTGACTGAAGAGCCAAAGACATCCTCATGGGTCACTCACCCTAGAGATCCCCTATACAGGAAATAGGACATAATAGGAAATCTAAGTAGAAGTCCATTTTGGTTGTTGCAAGTACTAAATAGAACGTATTTGAACCTCAGGTGCTCAAGATCATCATGGTACCTGCTTCTCCCAGGACTGCGCGATTTGTCCTGCGGGACGTACTTCGCTCAAGTCCATGGAGACTCGCATTTGCCGTCCCTGTGCACCCGGCAGCTTCCAGAACACCTTCGGATCCTCCGAATGCGTCCTGGATCCGAAGTTTTGTTCTCCACGGCCCTATACATACCCATGTGACTATGTGTGTTGTTTAACCTTATAAGAAAATGACGTTTTGCATTGACTAAACAGAAGGGGGATGGAGGTAATTTTGTGTTGTCAGAATATTGTTGGATACCAAATTGCCCATTTTGTGGAGAAATAATGACGAAATGATCGATCCTCATCCCTCTTCTTCAAAGTGACCTTTTGTTTCGTCCCAAAATGACCCATTTAGGGAGCCTAAGTGAGCTTACTCTGGGATCTCAAGTTCGGTCACTTGGAAGAACGAAGCGATGAAGCAGTTGTTTGATGTAGGTGCCTCACTTGCGTTGCCGGTGCTTCATTTCGTAGAGCAGAGAGATTAACTCTTGACTCTTGATATGTTTTTTTTAAAGGAGCGAGCCGTTGTATCAGTCATTTAGAGGCATGCCCCTGAGGATCAGGCACATTTTTTTTTCATATTCTTTCTGTAGAGTAGAACATGGAAATAAGCTCTTGATCCTGTATGATTAGTCTTCATTTGGGAGTGAGTGAGTCCTTGGGTTTGTCATGCCACTGTGGATGAGGGACCTCAGAAAGCGTTGCTGGTGCTTCACTTGTTGTTGAAAACTAGTACAGTAACTAGGACAATGAAACTTTTGCTTGACTCTGTGGAAGTTAATTTTTGAGTGCGTTTGTGGATGAATCATGCGATTATATGTGATATGTGTGTTTTCCCATTCCCGATTCTTTGATCGCAAAAAGTCTGAGTCTAAGTGATGAGTCACGATTCTTTCTGGTTTCCATTAGTTCAATCCGATCTTTATCTCCAAATTTGATGTGTCTCCCGAAGATCCCGTGACATCTGGCACTTTGATTCTCATTTTGTCGCTGTCGCAGTGATTGCTGATTTCCGATCGTCGTGAATCTGAATATGAATGTGTTTCTTAGATCCCCGCACCCTTCATGGTGTAGACCGTCAGGTAAGTGGGTGGGTTTCAGTGTGAGCTTCGTAATTTGTAGACACTGCTGCCCACACTCAAACCAACCCACTGATCAGAATGTAGTTGCACTCACCCACCCCTGTCCCACCTTCCTTGGAGGCAGTTAGAGTCTCAGGGATAGTCAAGACGTCGACGTATTCTCAGGACCTCAACCGCACGTGCGCATGTCTGCCGAGCTAGACCGAACTCTGCCGAGCTCCCCAAAACACACCCCGCTCCGCCCACACAGAACTCCACCAAATTGCAGCTGCACCCGTTGCACCCAGTAACAAGTACGCTACTACTAGTTCCTAGCAGTACTACTAGTAACAAGAAGCTACTAGTAACAAAGTGCATCACTACTAAGAGCAAGG